GTGAGCCTCTGCAGATCGTTTCACTTAATTCTCACAGTGACCATCTGAGGAAGTTATAATTCCTGTCTTCCTTTAGACATGAGGGCATCAAGGCTCAGAGAGGGGAGAAGATGACTGAGGAGGACACACAGCCAGTAAAGGGTGGGGTGAAATTCAAATCCAGGTCTAGCTCAGGGCCCTGGGAAAATCTTCTCTTGCTTACTTCTACCTGGGCCCTTGGGGCTTCAAGAGCTTAGTGTAGATTGTCAGGCCTTTGTAATAACTCTTGTCCCCAGGGCTTCCGCCCTCCCCAAATCTCCACTTCAGATCTCTGTCGTCTGAGACAGAATTCAGTCTCTCTCGAATTCTGGCCACCACTCGGGGATTTGGGGACCTGTCTAGAGGGAAAGCTGTCTCGTCTTCTTAGGATCGAGGGATGATCATTGATAACCCACCTGCTAAGGGTCTTCTGGGTCTCAGCTGATTGGGACCTTGACTTTCAGGTTCTTAGCTGAAAATCAAGCAGAAAAGGACATATCCTGTGTCCAGAAAGAGAGGATGCAATGGTCACTGGAGCTGACCCATCACCTTATCAGTCTGAAATCTGAAAAACCCAATCATCTGCGGGAAGTTTGGTTGTCCCAACCCACCCGGGAGGTGTGAGCGTGGCTGTCAAAACCAACAGTACTGGCTGATGTGGGGACACAGGGACTCAGAGGTTTGGGAAACAGCGTTACTGACAATTCAGGTCACCAGGTGGGAGCATTAGGTGTGTTAATTCCTTTAACTCTGCAGAGAACACACTTTACAAATGAGAAAACTATGGAGCAGAGAGAGAGAGAGGCCTGTCAAGGAGAGGAAGGGCTTGGACCCTCGCCTCTGGGGTCCATTCTTGGTTTCATCAGTTTGCTCCCATCTCACAAGTCCGATGGGGGACTTACCCTCATCCCTCAGTGGGGGACCAGAGGCTGTCCCTGGCACTGGCTTCCTCTTAGAGTCAGCCAGATCTGCCTGCCCCACGCCTTCACACGTCCTCCAGGGTTGTTTCTTAAGGAAGGAAAAATCTTTCTTTTTTGTCAAAGAACCAACCCTGGATCATCTTTCACAATCCAGCTCAAGGGCACCCTCTTCTAAGAAGACCTCTCTGATTTCCCCTGCCCCCAGTCATTCCCCCACCCCCCCAACTCTGTCCTTGGGCTTGCCCTTTCCACAGTAGTTTGGTGGTCAAGGGCTGTGGCTTTGGTCAGACAGTTGGGTTTCAAATCTTGGTTCTGCCTTTCTCTCAGTGTGGGTTGTGGGACTTGAGGTTAGTCCCTTCCCCAGAGTCCCTTAGACATTAAGACTCAGTGTCTTCCTCCCTAAAATGAACTGTGACCATACCTTCGGGTAGCTGTCAGACTACATGAGGTAAGGACATGCAGGGCCTGGGAGAGATACCGCTCAAATAATGGATGCTGCTAGTATCATCAGTCGTGACTAAAGACCTGGTCTTGACATTGAGGGCCTCAGGTGCTCAACATACAGGGTAACTGACCCTTGATAAACTTCCTATCCAGCTCAGGCAGGGCAGAGAAAGTGCTAGGGGGCATTCCCTTCACACCCTGCCCCCCACCCCCCTGCAACATACAAATGCAGTAGTCTTTAGCTCCGCCTTTTTAAGTGGCTATTCTGGAAGTAACAAGTGCCCTTTGCAAGGGTGCCCCCCTGTGGCTGAATGAGAACCTGCTTTGGGGAGGCAGGGAGGGACCGCAGTTACCGAGCACCTCCACAAGGGGCCTGGAGGTCTTAGCTGTTGCGCAGGTTCATCCGACCAGTTACTTGTTGGGGATGTGCTCTGTGTCAGGCACTACTATTGCAGGTGCTCGGGGGACGAGAGTGAACAAACACGTAGAATACACAACGCACCAGAGGCAGGAAAAGGGAAATAAAGCAGGTCAAAGGGAGAGCGAGTGCCGGGCAGAGCTCTTCAGGCCTCAGTGAGCAGTTTCCAGAGGTTGGGGGGAGGGGTACCCAAGGGATTTAAAGGAAAGAAGTGACGGGTGTGGTGCCTGTATGAAACAGACTGTTGGGCAGCGGCAGTAGCAGGCGATTGGCAGGGTCAGTGCAGTTGTCACCAGCAGAGATGACAGAGGCTGGGCGGAGAGACCACAAGGGAAGGACACGTGGCCTGATCTGGGATGCATGCACAGCCGAGCCTAGAGGACTTGTGGATGGACAGGATGTGGGAGGAGACTCGGGGCCACGGGGGGGGGGGGGGGGGGGGGGGGGGGGGGGGGGGGGGGGGGGGGGGGGGGGGGGAGAGATCAGCCGGAGACAAGGTGGGACCCACTTCCCTGTCCTGGCCTGAGAAGGCTGGGCCCAGAAGAGGGGGCAGGAAGGCCACAGCTGCCACCTGTGACCAGGAGCAAAGCGCTTTAAAGAAGGAAGACCTTGGATTTGACCCTGGGAGGAAGTCCGGAAGCAGTCCCCTCTGAACCTGCTGCTGGCTGGGGCAGAGGGCAGGAAGTAGCAAACCCACTTTTCCGCACCAGCTGCTTCCCTCCGTGAGCTCCAGGTCGGCCTCAAGGCATCCCTGGTGAGCACGGAAAGGAGGAAAGGGGTGCCGCGGCTCCAGAGGGCACTTTGCCGATGCCACCCAAAGCCATCGAGCTGCGCCCGGCCCCCATGTTGCATCCTCCTGTGGTTACCTCCTGGGGAAGAATCAGATATAGCCCACACTGCACCTACCGGGTGGTTTGGCGTGGTGTAGCCTCCAAGACCAAACAAAACAATCCACACTGCATGAGAGATGAGTTTAAACTCAACTTGGCGAGGAGGCCTCATCAGCCCAGTTAACTTGTGTTTTTCACTTGGTGTTGAATTTTATTATTTTAATTTTTATTTATTTTGGAGAGACAGAAAGAGATGGGGGGGGTGGGCATAGAGAGAGCAAGAGAGAGGGAGAGAGAGAATCCCAAACAGGCTCTGTACTATCAGCATGGAGCCCGATGGGGCTTGAACTCCCAAACCATGAGATCACAACCTGAGCCAAAACCGAAGTCAGATGGTTAACCAATGAGCCACCCAGGCGCCCCGTCACTCGGTGTTGAATTTTAAATATCGTTCTATCAGGACACGTCACATGCTTTGCAATATGTCCTTGACCCATGTAATGCCAGGAGGTTCCCTTACCAACCAATTTTGGGGAGGACTCAAAATACTCCCAAAGATGAATGGAGTGGCTAGTTGAGAACAACTGAATTCAGACGCCCCAGAACCAGTTATTAAAGCAAATTTGGGTGAATGGGCTTTTCCAGCTGGGCCACCCACAACTGAAAACTAGGTCTAAAAACATCTTTGCCCAGCCTGGATCTGGACCAGTGTGGCGATCCCTGGCCGTCCCCCTGACCTTGGGCTAGACACCCAGTCCGTCTGAACTGGGGCGGCTGCAACAATTACAGTCACGTCAGCTCCCTCACCCACTTCCCAGGGCTAGGTGGGAATCCCAAGAGCCCTTGGTAAACTCTTCTAGATGGTGAAGGTTCTAAGTGCTGTTTTGATGAGCTCTCTGGGTGTGTACCAACTAGTGCAAGCAGAATTAAAGTGAGCAGAGTGAACACACGCAGGCCGGGGGGATGGGGGACGGGGTGTATGGAGGCAAGGTGGTTACGAGCACGAGCTTGGGAAGCGGACAGCCCCTTACCACTCACGCTGACTTGGGCTTTAGCTTTTGCGCCATAATAACTACGGTTACTACGCTTCTTCTGAGCAACCCATTAGCACCAAACTCCGCTCTCCTCATTCTGGTTTTCCATGGTCAGGGTGACAATAATTTAGTTTTCCAGACCGGCACTTAGTTTCCATGGTCACTTCTGTCTGCCAGGCATGCTGTGGATGCTGCCGCCCCTGCTGGTTCGGGATGGGACACCCCAAGCCACGTCCCTCTCCCAGGATGGGTGCAGAGGGAACCCCAAGCCCTTCCCTAGCACTGGGCGGGAGTAGGGGTCTTCGCTCGCCGGAGGGTAAAGCAGTAAAGTGTGTGGTGGGGAGAGGGCGGACACCTTAGGTTTGAAAAACAGGAGCCTGAGTCCGTGCCGACCCCGGGTCTGCGGTTCATCTGACAGGGAGGTGGGAGGACTCGCACCTAAGACCCCAGTGGTCTCTCCCAAGCCCCCATAGGAAGCACGCTTACAGGAGGGGGTCTTGGCCGGGGGAAGTGCTGCCCGGGTTGCTGCCAGGCAGAAGCCTGCAGGGCAGAGCGCTGTGGACGGGACCTGCACACCAAGGCTATGGATGCTGCTCTCACCCTCAAAACGGACTCAGCAGGAGCCTCCTACAACCGCCAATGCAATCAAAGGGGCCTGTAGGACACGCAGCCGTCCTTTCTTCACCAGCCGACTTGCCCCTTCACCCCTGGTGGAGCCAGAGCTCAGGGGCATTTTGATCTCGTTCCTCTTCCAGGCCAAGCTGCCCTAACCTTGATCTCACCTGGGCTGGCGTGAGCGGTTTCCCCACGAGAACCCCATCTAGCTCTGCACACCGGGTACCTAAGGCAATGGTGGGGCAGCCGAGAGCCTCGGGGTGCAACAGGCCAGATGAGGGGGGAAAGGGCTGGGGCAGAGAGGCACACTTAGAGCCCAATTGGCCGTGGCGCAGGGAGCCCGAGTCTCCCGGGGTCTGAGGGCAAGGACGCGGGGAGGCACATCCACCCGAGGGCTGTGCGCACCCAGACCCAACCTCACACTCCAGGCACCCCGCCTGCCGCCGTTTCATCAGGGCAAGAGGTGCGCTCCTGGGGAAGCAAGAGGCTGCAGAGTCTCTCTCTACACGTGCCTGCCCCCTTCCCAATAAAGGGGGGCCCACCAGTCCTCTGGGGGCTGGTGGGTGGATGCTAGCGGATGGGTGTGGGGTGCCGCAAGCAATTTTCAAGCAGCTATGCTGGAAGGCAGGCCCCGCCCCGCATGCCCTGGGAAGTAGTATCATTAAAGCAGTCAGAAATGGCTTCAGTGGGAGATGCTGCACACAACATGCTGGTGAGATCCTTTCCTTTTTTTTTGGTCATTTTTATTTTTTTCTTTAAAGTCCATTGATCGTCACAAAAACCCAGGAAACGCAACTAAGGAGAAAACAAATGTCCAACTGAGATCTAAGAACCCAGAGCGATAGACAAGACGTGGCCCTGGCCTGCTGGGTGTGTGGGAGGGGGCGGGAGGGGCGGTCCCCGTGGGGCAGCCAGCCAGGGGGACGCGGGAGGGAGAGGAGGCCGCCAGCCAGGCGGGCGGTTATGTTAACCGCTGCACGATGACGGCGTTCAGCAGGTTGGCCTCCTTCAGGGTCTGGCTCTCGTCAGCCAGCTCTTTGTTCGGGAAGGTAGTCATGAGGATGAAGCTGGTGGCAGCCATGGCTGGCCGGGCGTCCACGATGAAGAGTCGGATGTCGCTGATCCTGGTGGAGTGGGGGGGGTGGGGGTGGGGGGGGCGGGGCAGGGAGGTGGGTGAGCAGGGCCCCTCTCTGCCGTCCACACCCCAGCCTTCCTCCTCCACGGGCAGCCAGGGCACTTGCTCAGAACCATATCAGATCACACAACTCCCTTGCCTAAAGCCCTTCAGGGCTGCTCCCAGTTTCTTTGGGATAAACACCACCTCTTTACTGGGATCCCAAGCCCCATCTAATTTGATCCCATGCTCCTTCCCCGTGTTCTCTATGTCCCTCCTTCTAGATTTTCATCATGCTGTGCTTCCTGCCAACACTGGGGTCACTCGAAGCACCTCTGCCCGATTCCTGTCCTGGAATCCTAATCACACTCTTTCAGAACTTAGCCCACAGGTGACCCGTCAGCACCCAAGGACTGTCAAGCCATTCCCTGGGTCCCTCACGTGCTTCTGGTTTAGGTGGCCTACGCCTCATGAAAATGGATACCGCTATCCTAGAAAAAGGTCTCCCCAAATACCTAGAATACTGGTTTACCAGTCCTCCCCTGCTAATCTCTTCAATTTCTCCATGCCTCAGTTTCCCCATCTTTAAAATGGGGTTGGCACAGTTTGCTTTGAGCCAGCCCAGATGGTCTGAAGTAGTAGAGCAGGTATTCTAGAATTTTCACATGGCAGACCTAAGAGACTTTCACAGCCCGGTGGTTTTCAGAGATCCTTGGAGAGGGAGGTAGTGGACGCTGGGGTTGTGTCCCCTCCTCCTCTCTGTTATCCACAGCAGTTTAGATTTTATTGTTCTGCACTTGGGCTTTACCGTGAAATTTCCTGTGAACAAACACTGTGGGGGCCAAAAAGACCCTGAGAATCCCAATGCCCTAATCTTACAGGCGAGGAATGAGACCCACAGGTGAGAAGTGAGCAGTCACCGGCCGCACTTAATGGATGAGAGGAATGAGAACCAAAGGCTTAAGACCTGCAGGCCTCCCCGTCCCACTGCCTCCTTTGGGGAGTGCAGAGCCCCTGCTGGTGTCTAGGGGGCCCTCCCCAAGCCAGCGAGGCCGGACGGCGCAAGGCACCTGTGGCTGTGGTTGAACTTCTGCACCAGCCTCCCGCCGTCAGCGAGCCGTATTTGGATGTTTGTGGTGGGCTGGGACTCATCGATTGAGACCGAAGAGCTGGCTTTGGCTTCGTTTTCTGCTTGTTGGGCTGGAGAGCTGGGATTCAGTACCTGGGGGGCCGTGCTGAGGAGAGAGAAGAACGTCAGGCCACACACGGAAACAAGGCCCCTGCAGGGGGCGATCCTGCCGCAGAGTTGGCAGAGCACTGGCTGTGCCCGCGACATTGCTGTGGCGGCTAGAACGAGTGGCCGAGACAACCAGCCGTCGCAGAACCTACAGGCCCAGCAGAAGGCACTGGCCCTGCGCTGCAGCTAGCTCCCTCACTCCTGAGTAACCGGGGGCAAGTGATTCCTGTTCTGCCTCGGTGCCCTCACCTGAACAAAGGCCCGAAGGGAGGAAAGCAGCATGCATGACAGCTGCAGGGGGACCAGAGCAGGATGCGTTTTAGCCGCAATGAGAGAGGCCAAGGTCCGTAGCGGAGGCAGGTCTGACAGCCAGGCGGGGACCAGTCCACACTCCTTCCGGTCACGGAATTGTCAGGCCTGCGCTCCCTAGTGCAGCCTCACTTGTGTGCACATTCGTTCCCCTATGTCAACTACCAGAAGGGGACAGAGATTTCCCACCGATCAACTAAGCACCCTCCACCACGGGGATTATTTTCACAGTATCCAGAGGACATGGTGTCCGCTGCAGATCTTAGAACTCTCCTGTCAGACAGGCGGCGCTGGGCAAGTTACTCAAGCTCCCTTAGTTTCAACAAGGGAGGTAACGAGGCTCTTTAACAACAGTGAAGACTACCTGCCTTGCTCAGCTTCTGTGAGGAATAAAGGAGAGAAAGGCACACAGCACTGACATACAAAACGTTCACAGAACTCGACCACTGCTGGAGGCTTTGCCCCTCCCCTGTAATCACCTGTGTCTCCCTCCCAGCTCTCTCAGCAGGCGCGCTCATCCAGACCCCTGCAGAGGAGACAGGCCATGAGATGGCACCTTGCTTCCCCACAGCTTCGGATTACATCAGTTCCCACACCTCTCCCTTCCCCCTGGATCTTTATAAGCTAAAGACGGTACTCTTAGTAAATCCATCGGAAAGTGCTTTCCCAAGTGTGTTTCCAGGGACCCTAATCTCCTGAGAGAAATCCAGGAAGAGTGTAGAAACGCTACATACCAAACTGGCAGCACCAGGGGCCATTGCATATTAAAGTCTTGAGAGGCTGTGCGGTCAGAGCAAACTTATCTGACCACCTTGTCCCTTTTTCAAGCCCCACTGGTTAAACCTCCTGCAGAGTATGCCACGGAACCCAGTTTGTGAAACACTGCCCTAGAACACATAACTAGCAAAGAACTGAAAAGTGGGTGGTTTTCTGTGACTATTAAAAAACAAGCGCTCAGAGAGTCACAAAGCAGAACTCAGAACACTGGCCACACTTACCACCTATGGAAGGAGCTGCTCCTTTCTATGCATCACCCTCAGTGTGTGGGATGCACATGCAAAAATCACACCACCTTTTAGATGCTCAGAGGGGCGCCTGGGTGGCTCAGTCGGTTAAGCGTCCGACTTTGGCTCAGGTCATGATTTCACGGTTTGTGGGTTTGAGCCCCACATCGGGCTCTGTGCTGACAGCCAGCTCAGAGCCTGGAGCCTGCTCCAGATTCTGTGTCTCCCTCTCTCTGACCCTCCCCTGCTCATGCTGTCTCTCTCTCTCAGAAATTTAAAAAAAAAAAAAAAAAAGAAGAAGAAAAAAAAGATGCTCAGAGACAGTGGCAAGTTCAATATGAAGCCTATAAATGCCTAAGAGCAACTGTTTTGTTCATTACTTTTACAGGCATTAAGTCAACTCTCTAACTAGTCTAGACATAGACAGCCTGTCTCTCAACTGTTCAAATAACAATTCCAAGGACGGAACAGGTACTCAGTGAAGCTACCGCCTGCCAGAATGGGAACTCTCGCTTCTTCAGTCAGGCCTACGGTGAGAAAGAAGCAAGGTTGCCCAGAGCATCCGTTTAGCCAGGGCGGGGATGGGAGTGAACAGGAGTGACGTATGCTTTGTTCACACAGTGTCTGGGGGAGCTGGGTGTCCACAGCCTCACGGACCCCTCACAGCCATCCTCTGAGACCGGTGCATCTCCATCCTCACACAGGAAAACAGAAGCACATCCTGTGGAGCAGTTTCTCAATTGTTAAAAATTTACGTAATGAACAAGCTTTCTCCCTGTACACTGTGCGTTCCCACCAGCCAGGACTGTCAAGGGTCACGTTCCATGGTTGATTTTAGGAAACATATTTTAAAAATGCTTTCTCAGACTCCTCGCTGGCTCACAGAGGGTCGGGTATCCCTGTCCTATGAGCTGGCCAGTGCTCAGCAGTTCAGTAAACACGTGGGCTTCTGGACTTCCGTCTCTGTAGCAGGAGAATCCCATCCCCACACCTCCACACCTTTCGGGGCAGTGGCCAGGACTGCTAAGGAGTCAGCGTGCTGCCGGAGGCCCAGCACAGGACCGGCCAGAGAGGCCCGGCTCCAGCAATGAACAAGAGGGGTGGCCTTGGGAGGGGCTTCACGGTTGGCCCGTGTGACATGAGGACTGTTCTGCCGTGAGGTTAGCGGGCACATCGTGTGCAGAAGGCCAGACAGACCAGACACTGGCACGTCCTCCACACGAGGAGGCAGCTGAGGTTTTGGTCTCTTCCCCGCACAGCCTGTCGCACGGAGCCGTGCTCATCATCTGAGGGCCGGGGAAAGGCTGCTGTTTCTCTCACACAGCCCATGGCTCAGGTGAGCTGGGAGGTGATGGGCACACCACAGGCTTGCGCTGCACTCATCACTGAGCTGGGCCCTGTGCCGAGTATGTCACACGCAGCAGTTCATTTCATTCTCACAATGGCGTGTGAGGAAGGGATTCATCGTCTCCACTTTATAGATGAGGGAACTGGCGCATAATGGGATCCCAGCGTTGGTTCGACATGGTGCCAGGACACAACCCAAGCTGCTTGACTCTTGTTCTGTGCCCTGGACGCCTGCCCTCCCTTCCCGCCAGGCCTCAGAGTCAGGTAGACCTAGGCCTTGATTTTAGGAACACTGTCCCGAGGCACGGTTTGCTCATCAGTGAAACGGGAGTTAAGTGAAACTTCCCACGGCTGGGATAACAGCTAAAAACAAGGCACTGCACACAGCATGTACGAGAAGCACACACAAACGCCTCTGGGGCTGGGTAGGAACACCCAGGAACAATGCAGTATGGCGGGGAAGAGCAGAGACGGGGGAACCCATCTCTGCACTGACCTGTAGTGTGACCTTGGATGTGACATGATCTCTTCAAGGCTCAGAGTCCTTATTTCATCCCTTATTTGGAGATGAAAACAGGATTAAAGGTGATAACACATGGGAAATGCCTACTACAGTGCTTAGCTAACAGCAGAAAAGACACCCTATAATTAGTTTACTATCATTCTTCAAGGTCCTGCCCCACCTGTATTTGTCTGGATTCTGGACCCGACGCTAGTGCCTATCCGTGGCCGTAACTGGAAAACCCCCTGCGCGGCACCCCCAGCCTACGCTGCCTCGAGGACTGGAGCAGGAGGAGCATGATACCAGGCCCTATTGCTCTCACACTTGAGAAGCGGCAGGTCCGAACTGCTCCATCACGCAGGGCGGCCGCAGGCATCTGCTCAGAGGAGCTCAGCCCGGGTGTGGCGCTTCCCGGGCACTGCACACACAGGAGCCACCGGAGCCACCCTTCCCAAGGGCGGCAGGGCCACCTGCTGCAGTGAAGGCAGCGCCTCCAAGGCCGGGAGTGGTCCGGTCAGACACCTGCAGAAAGTTTCTTTGCTGTCTCCTTGCAAATACCATACACCTCACAGGGAAAGAGCCTCCCCCAGAGAACAGCCTGGATCACGACTGCTCACTTCCTTTGTAGTCGGGGATTAACTGGGCACGAAGGTGCTTTGTTGTCACAATTAAGGATTGCCACTTTGTCATCTCTTTACAAAAAACGACCACTGCAGGGGCGCCTGGGTGGCTTAGTCGGTTAAGCGTCCGACTTTCGCTTAGGTCATGATCTCACGGTTCATGGGTTCGAGCCCCGCGTCGGGCTCTGTGCTGACTGCCAGCTCAGAGCCTGGGGCCTATTTCAGAGTCTGTGTCTCCCTCTCTCTCTGACCCTCCCCTGCTCACGCTGTCTCTCTCCTAGAAATAAATAAAAATAAAAAACAAACAAACAAAAAAAAAACCCGACCACTGCAGAAAGCACGGTGAGCAGCCGAAACTCAACACAACTCAACACGGGTAGCAGCAACCGCCCCCCGCCCCCCCCCCCGCCATGGTGCTCTTGGTGTTCGCTACTCAGAACTGAATAAACACAAAACTTCTGGACTTTCAGGTTAGTTCCCATCCAAACAAACGTAAAACCTAAAACAACAAAGTTTAATACAACTATAAGAATTTTCTCAAATTTTTGAATTGAGAACAATTTCTCCATTCAGATTAACTGGAGGAAAAAACCCAGGACTAATTCTTGAGGCAAACCTGAGAACGTTTTCTTAAGCTTTTGGCTCTTGATCATTTTAGTTGACAAGATGACAGTGGAAAATATTGCAAAATTTATGGGAAAAACTAAAAAAGCTGTGCATCTGGTTTAGACTGAAAAGCTAAAAACCTCATCTCACTTAGCTGTATGAAACTTGTCTTTTGCTCATTTTTCACAGAAAACCAACACTGACATAAAATGAAAATGGAACTGGCAAAGAATATTTAGCTGACAAAATCAAACTCTGTCAACCCTGATGATCGAGATCTGTCTCAACTTGTGGCTGCGTCCTCTACTAATAAAGTTACTTATTCCTGTCCCGCTAAAATAGACCTCCTTAAATATATTCTAACTTTTCAAGAACGTGTGTGGAGCCTTGCACAGATAATACAGACTTTCCAGTAGTAGCATTTCCCATTAGGATCATGAAACCAACTAAGCCCAAACCACACGATGTACTGAGTTCTGGGCCAAGAGGGCAATTTGGCATCATCTTAAAAATATGAAGACCTTCTGAACCAGCAATATTACTTCCAGCCCAAAATTAAGGGGTATATGAAGATTTAATGAGAGATATTCACTGTAATGTTGTTCTTAACACCGGCAGCCACCTAAATAGTTAACAGCAGGGGCTGATTAAACTACAGCACACATACAAGATAGAAAAGCATGTTAGCATTACAAATAACATTGTAGAAATACAATTACTGATGTAGAATAACAACCATACTACTTTCATTAGGCAAACAGCAAATGATAACATAGCACGGTTACACACACACACACACACACACACACACACACACACGACTAGGATACTAACCAGATATGTCTGGGTGTTAGGTTTAGTTTTTTTCCTTAATCTGTATTTTCTATTATTTTAAAGAAGATAAACACATTTTAATAATTAACCAAAAAAAAAAAGGAATTACCTATTGCTCCACAGAGTTTATCACAGACGGCAGGGAGCCAGACAGTGCACTCTGAGGACAGCGTCCTGCCCTGACCCACAGGTCCAATGTGGCAGATGAGGTGAGCACAGGGTAGACTCACTCTCCGGTTATGGGGAATCAGTTTAGCAGAGGCCACTCTAACGTCCTGAGCTATTACCTTTGCTCTCCTAGAGTCCCTACCCAAAGCCCAAAGGGCACAGGAGCCAGCAGACCACCCTGGTCTCTGCCAATGGGGTGGACAGGAGCCGTGCAGCGCCTAGCTCCAGAGCTGCCATATGGAGCCTGCTGTGAAGCTGCGGGAAGGAGTGCCCATCACAAGGCCCGGGCTCCAGTCCTGGCTCCGCCCACACCACTGATACATCCACAGGTAACCCTTGGGGTCCACAAGCCTCAGTTTTCCCTTCGGTAAAATAACGAATGTACTCGGAGGAAAGGTCACTATTCCCTGCGTACACAGTTCTCTCTGAAGAATACTGACCAAGTGACCCATCGGACAGAGTTGAGCAGGCTGCTGAAGAGAAGGCAGCCTGCTTGTGGGCTGGCCGAGGTGTGGTGGGAGAACTCTGCCCATCAGGGGCAACAGTGACTTCGGCCAATCAGAGCCTATCAGGAGTCTGAATGAAAGACGGAGGCAGTGGCAGAGGACACAGGGCAGAAAAGGTCACAGGAAGTGACAGTGTCAGGCAGAACCAAAGCGGTAGAGAAGAGCTGCAGTAGCAGTGAGGGGCAGCTGGCCCAGGGCAGCAGTGTCCCTGAGCATCCCTGCATCCTGAACAAAGCTGCGGAAAGGCGGCTGGGCAGGAGAGCCGGAGATCTCACCCCCCACATCCCTGTTTCTGGTGACTCCCAAAAACATGTGTGTCCGTTTTGGCCTTAAGCTACGAAGGAGCTCAATGTGGCCCCGAATGTGCTAGAGTACTGAGTCCAAACAGCAACGTGCTGCCCTCTGTGCTTACGCTGATTGCTCACTGGGAGGCAGCGCTCAGCGCTCCTCATGACAATGAAGGAGGAAGGCCTCTCACTAGTTCCATTTTATGCTTGAGCAAACTAAGGCTATGCAGTCCAAGTTCACATGGCTAGAAAGTTAAGAGACTTTAAACCCAGGTTGTTTAACACCCAAATTCACATTCTCCGCACTTTTCCTCCCGTAAAGATAAAACACGCAGTGCTCAGTGACGGCAAAGAGCTACGTGCACGGTGACGACACACAGGGTCTGGGGACCCAGCGCAGTGACCAGCGTGTCCCACTTCCACCCGTGCTGCTCTTACCTGCCCAGTTTCTGGCCCTCGCCAGTGAAGGCTCTGAACGCTCCCTTGGGCTTCACGAAGTCCTCGTCCCGATGGTCCTCCATGTCCAAATTCACCTGCCCACCGTGAGCTAGCCGCCGCAGCTCGGCCGGCACCTCCCTGCAAGGGGACAGGCAGCGCTGGGTCCACACGGAGCGCACAGGACAGCAGTGGCGGGTGCGCAGGGAGAAGCGTCATAGGTCCAAATGTGGAAATGGCTGGGCCTTCCCAGAGCACGGCTACTATAGTGGCCATGGTCTGTCTCCCCCTGGTCTCACGCCTGCTCAGTCATGGTTATGATCTCTATGTTACCTGGTCACTTGGTTCTGCCCCAGGCTTGAAAGGGAATAACAGACACACAAGGTTTTAGATCTGTGAATCTGTATTTTAACTGTGTTAAATCTTAAAATTTTTTACTTTAAAAACATTTTTTAAATGTGTTTACTTTTGAGAGAGAGCGAGCATGAGCAGAGGGGCAGAAAGAAGAGGAAAGAGGATCCAATGCAGGCTCTGCGCGGACAGAAGAGAGCCCTTTGCTGGGCTCGACCTCATGAATTTTGAGATCATGACCTGAGCCAAAAGTCAGATGCTTAACCTACTGACCCACCCAGGTGCCCCCAAATTTTCTACCTCTTAAATCAGCCTCTTCATTCTCATCTATTCACTGACATGGAACACGGAGGAGGGCTTTCTGCTCACCCTCTGCGGATCGACTCCAGAAACTGGGCATTGGATGGGTCTTGGTAGCTTCTGAGTTCACCGTTGTCCAGGCTGAAGCCACTCTTCCAGAGCTTCAACACTACATGAACCTGGGACGGCAGGAGGTAAGAGGTCCACACACTGCCAGGAAGCTGGCAAGCATACCAACATGTGCTCGCAGGAACACCAATCTGTGTTAGCAGGTTCTTATTATCTTACTGTCACCACCGAAACAGAAAGATGACACACCACGCACACACGCACGCGGGCAATCAATCAACAACCAAATCTTAACGTAAAATAAGTAGGTGATACAGCAAAAGGTTAAGAGCATGGTTTTGATCTGAGCAGACCTGGGTCTGTCTTGACTTTGCACTCACTACCTAAGTGGCCCTGAGCAAGTGACTAAGTCAGATCTGCGGCTTGTCTGTGGGGCTGCCAGTGTGCCTGGCATGCAGCTGGTGCTCCACTAAGCCACCAGGGCAGATTTCCTCATGGCACTCCTTTGCAGTCATTAAAAGTGACATCTACAACTTGTGTTAACTCCTGAGACTAATCACAGCAAAGGGTCTAGGTCCCAAGCCAGCATATTAGCAGCTGCCTTGGGTGGATACGATTTTAGTTTTCTTCTTGGCTTCATTTCGGAATAAAACCCCAAATGATTAAAAACAAATACATTATAGAAACGAATGGTCTCAAGGCCAAACATCTGTTTATGGCATAATATTAAATTTAAAAACCTCATAATTATCTACATAGTCTGACACACTTATTGAAGAGGGACCCTACGCACAGGGAAAAAAGGTTGGATAATAGTAAAGTTTTCCAAAGTTGTGCTTTGGGTGGACTCTTCGAAGACGAGGTTTGTTTGTTTTTTAATGTTCATTTATTTTTGGGAGAGAGAGACAGAGCATAAACAGGGGAGAGGCAGAGAGAGAGGGAGACACAGAATCTGAAGCAGACTCCAGGCTCTGAGAGGTAAGCACAGAGCCAGAAGTGGGCTTGAACTCACGAACCATGAGATCATGACCTAAGCCGAAGTCAGACTCAGGTCCGGGCTCTGACTTAGCCCCCCAGGCGTCCCTGAAGACTAAGTTCTTTACATGTCCACACCACCAGAAAAACCTCAGAATCACGATCCCTCTGCCCAACGTTCATGGGATGCTCAGAAAACTCCTTCATTTGTCCATCCCCTCTGCTCACTCCTCTGGAGTGCCCCTGCCCAGCCAGATGAGAGCTGCCTTCTGTTCTTAAGGAAGCCTCCCTGCTCCTGGACCACAACGATGGCACTGCCTCTTTCTTTCTGAGGTTGCTGGCTCACAAACAACATGGGACCAATCCCTTCTGAAAAGTGGCAGAACAGTCTATGAGCTCCTCTAAGGAAGGGAGGTGCACACTCACATCTTGGCCGGAATGCCGCCTCCTTTCCCCCGCCACGTAGGCAGACTCTTCCTCTGGTGCTGCCCCAAGGCGATAGCCGCCCCCTGCAAATGGCTGTAAAAGACACATTCATAAACCTTTGAGGTGTGGGGTCCTCAGATACAACAATCTGTCTCAAGCCTGTCACCTGCTAGGGGCACTTCCTCTGGTACTGAACTCAGAGCTACAGGGCCAGGCAGTACGGTAGATGAATCAAGTGGGCAGGATTGGGGAGAACTGGAGGCAGGGTGGTGCTGCTGGGCTATGGGGAACAGTGCTACCAGGCTCTAGTTAACCATGGACATGTAGGAGTCTGGGTACAAGATAATACCAAAGACTCTCTGATTTTCCCAGAGAAGACAGAAATCTAGCAATTCTGTAACACATAAATCCAATTCAATACTAATTCAATGAAAAACAAAACAAAGCAGACTACAAAGTGAGTCAAGTTGGTTGACTTGCCACATAAAGCATGCCACATAAAGCATGCCTGCAGGATGGCTCCAGGCCGCAGGCTTGAACGCGGCCCCAAATCCTGACCCCGTGTTACAAGTGAGAGAAAGTGCACTGCTCTTCTGGACACAAGGGCAAGTGAGTGATGAAAGACAAGACAGACAAATTCAGTCACTTCTGGGGTGAGGAAGGGCTCTTCCCAGGCCCCAGAACCAGAGTCCCGTGACACAGACGACCCCTTATGCTCACTCTTGGTTTACTGGTCTCTCCGGGACTCTTGGTCACTCGTTCGACAGCCACAGCTCCGTGCTCCTTGGCACCTTTAAAGAGATCATCCACCAGCTCGTTGGGACTTTTCTTCCTCGGAGGGCCAACAATCTGCTGTCCGCTTCTTTCTGAGCCCCCAGCATAAAACCTGTGCAGAAAACACGTGTCTAACACTAAACACACTCGGCATGCATGAACAGAGCACATGCCGGGCTCTGGGCCAGGTGCCAGGCACGCTGACTGAGGCAATGGGTGCAGCGCCCGTGTTTAAGGAATGCACTGTCTAGTTGGGGAAACATGAAAGCAGGCAGGCAGGCAGGATGTGGTGAACAGCAATGGGGCTGAGTAAGGGATGCCCTGGAGCACTGAGTTATGAAGGAAGTCAGGCTTCCTAGAGGAAGGTCTTCTGGGCTGAATCTTGAGAATGAGGACGAGGACGAGTTGATCAGGTGAAGGGACCAGGGAAGGGCATTCCAGGCATGCATGACAGCACGCCACCTCCAGAAAGAGTCCCAGCTGGAAATCACCCGTCCAGCGGCCAGCACCTTTCTGGGAGACAGCAACTACGGTCTCAGTCAGAAGCACTACCACTAACAGCTCGGGGTTAGCAGTGGCAGTGGTGTCGTTAGTGCGAGCGGCCAGGCTCCAGTGTTGGCCCTGCTGCTGAGGGACCCTGGGCAAGCCAGTGCATCACCCTGCATCTCATTTTCCTTATCTTTGAAACAGGAGGGAAGGACCACATGCCCTACCTACCTGCTCCTTAAGTCAGGGCCATGAGGTTCAAATCAGCAGATGTATGCAAAAGAATAAGCAGAGTAATGCACACATGTAAGGTGGTGTGAAACAGCACTGAGAGCTCACCCACGCCTCACCTCACTATTCTTGTGACATACGCTGGGGGCAATGAGAAGAGGGCCCTGAAGGTCAGGGGAAGCTAAACACCAGCCCCAAGATACCCACACCAGGCTCTCCAATGGGCCAAGCACAGCTTGAGATCGAGTCAGCAGTTTTTACTCTGGTTCTGAAAACCAGTACGCACGGAGCCTGGCTCGTCACTCCTACTCACTGCCAGGCCAACAGCTGGTCTCTAAGTGGGGACATTGCAAACCTACAGAATTCGTCTCAGCCTTCTATTTCCTGACATCCCCCACTGAATGCAAGGCAAGCCCAGGCCTTGCCGAGGATGACAGCGCGGATGCCATCCGGCCTGCAATGCCGAGGGGCCGAGGAGGTAATCAGGATGTGAAATAAAGGAAGGTCATCACCTGGAGGATGTGACAGGACAGGAAAAGGAGGCAGCGGCCATTTAGGAGTTGGGCATTCACATACTTGATGGCATTGCCTTTCACTCAAGGGGTGTAAAACTCTGAACCTTGAATGTATCTAAAAAGAAGGCTGTGAGGCAGTGTAAAGGTCACTATATGGATGAAACAGAATAGAACACATGTAACTTCTCAGCCCGCTTCCCAAAGAGTGACCATGAGGAGATAACTGTATTTTTATCACGGTTACGGTAATGTTCCTTACAAATGTCTGACAGACCGAGGCAGGGCCCATGGGGAACTAAACCCGTGAAATGAGGCTGCAGACGCAGTTCTGCTCAGTGGTCTTTATTACAGAATCTCAAAGCCTTGGCTTGTGAACTAAGAGCCTAGAATCAAGCGCTTAAAAATATTCACTCCTTTGTCCCTATCGTGTCTAGAAGCTCCACTGAGAGAATAATCTGAAATGGAGTCAAAGATGAACACACAGAGATGTTCGAAGCACTGATATTTAGTGGTAAAAACCTTAAACAACCTAAACATTGGACAACCCATACGATGAGTTATTATTATAGTTGCTGAAAACACTAATGAAGAGTCTTAACAGCAAGGAAAGTACTGAATACAGAGCACTGATCCAACAGAACCAAGACACAAAATTATCTGGCCATCCCATGTAAAACAGGATGCAAAACCAAGCACAGCTACACCCAGAACACTGAATAGAAATGTTCCAAAATACTAACCCAAGTTACCAAAAGATGGACAACTGTATTATTTTTTCAGTACACTACTGTTTCTTCTATAATGGACACTATTTTTAGTATAACATTCACAATTTTTAAAAAAACAGTGTGTGTGTGTGTGTATATGGGGGAAAAACACATTGATACGTTTTTATTCTTTTCATTATGTGATATACTGCCTTTTTAATTGAGAAAAAACTGGAAAAATACACACCCCAAATACAGATACCTGGTTACCACTGGGTTACAAATATTAAGAATAACTTTTTCTTTTCATCAATTTGTTTCCCTTCCCCTAATACTCTTCAAAAAATACGTATTAAAAACAGGAAAACAAACCTAAAATACTCCAAAAGAAAAAAAAAAACAGTAACAGAGCAAAGGGATCACTTCTAAGCTACAGGGAGTGGGAGACTGTTTCTAGGATATAACCCACTTAGACCAGCCCACAGTAGTCATGGCTAATGATAACCGAGCACATTATCCTTCTGGGTCCTTCTAGATGATTTACACATTACCACAGACTTTCCTGCGAACTGTGCCCCCCTAACAAAGACTCACCTCTGGCCCTCCTCTTCCTCCTCCTCCTCGTCTTGGTCATGAATGAGGTCTCTGAAGGATGTTACCCTATTATCGCTGGAGACACAGAAAGGAGCAAAATGACCTCGGGGAGAATTAAAAGTAACACTCGTTATCAGCGGCTAAGGTGTTAAAAACATGGGGATTAGATATTCTTGGTGGGACAGAAGAGGATCTATGTGAAAGAGGGTTAGACTTTCTAAGTTTAAATGCAAAATAATGTGGCGTTTTTTTCTTCAAGGTCCACAGGACTACAAATAAATTAGAAAGGGCTATTGTGAAATAAAATGGAGTCCCAATTTAAGCTCTCCTAGGGGGAGGAGGGGGGAATGGTATGGGGGGTGTAGTAATTTAAAAGCTTACTATTTTCATCATTTAATTTTTATTTACTTTACAGATTTTTATTATTTTTAAGTAATCTCATACCCAACGAGGGTCTTAAACCTACAGCCCGGAGATCAAGAGTCACGCTCCACCAACTGACCCAGCCAGGTGCCCTTCATTTAATTTTTAAATAGCAGGAGATGCTTGTGTGTTAGGCACTGAACTGGATACTAGATCTATAAAGACGATCACACCTAGTTCTTATTTTAACTTTATTTTGAGTGTGTATGTGTACATGCAGGGGGAGGGGCAGAGCGAGGGGGAGAGCGAATCCCAAGCAGGCTTTGTGCTGTCAGTACACAGCCTGATGCGGGGCTCAAAACTCCTGAACCATGAGATCATGACCTGAGCCGAAGTGAAGAGTCAGATGCTCAACCACCCCAGCTGCCCAGGCGCTCCAACAGTTCTTAGTCTTGAGTTGCTTATAGGCTCATTGTGGCCCCTGGGCCAGGAAACCATCTCCTAAATACTGTGCAGTCGGGGCTGGGGCAGAAGGAAGCACACGGGATATGTGAGGACAGAATGCCTTGTCCCTCGTGGGGGGAGCGGGGGATGGGGGAACATCAAGAAAAGTTTCCCAGCAAAATGCAACATTTGCGACTGGGTGCTGAGGAATGAGAACCATCAGTCCTCAGCAGATCAAGGGCAGGGCTGGGGGGCGGGGAGGGGGTCAGCAGGGCACCGCAGGAGAGTGGTGTGCACACAGAGAGACACGCACGAGGAGGGTAAGCTGTCAAGAAGTGAGGAGGAAGTGAGCATGTGGCTGAGGCGGCCCTGCCTCTGCTGCAGGCTAGTTGAGAAAAAGTCTACTGGTGTTGAGGGAAAAAGCAGCGCTGTGTGTGGGGCTGGAGAGGGCACGCTGAAAACAGGTGTGCAAAGGGGCACCTTCCTCCTCTGACACTGTCGTACACCGCCACTTTTTTCTAGTTTAGATTGTCCTCAAAGAACTTAGTTTTTCAAGGATAAGACATTTGATAAAAAAACCTTTCCGGTATTTCTTAGGATAAAAAGGTAATTTCTCTGCAACATAGTGGGGGAAGAGGGTGAGACAGGTCTAGTGAGGCTAGACCGGGAAGCCTCGAGGAGTTATTTTCTAGGGGAAAGCTGCAGTTCAATCTTGAAGATGTGTATCAAAGAGATAGTCAGAGGACAGAACAGGCTTTGAAGTTGCATCAACTAGAAATGAGAGAACAAAGACCAATTAATGTAGCAAATACACTCGCTGCTTGAATTAACCTGAGTTAGCCGGGAGCAATCTGTGGGCATTTCTGGATGTCTGTATGACACGGTTCAAAAGAATCCAAGTGATAGATGTGCACTAGGACCCGGCAAGGCTAATCCCACTCGTTAATCTTCCCAGGGGGAGTTTTCCACAGACGCTCAACCTAGCATCCGTGGGGAAAAGCTCTCTCTCTGTTGTCTACACCTTCAAATACACGCATGTACACGTGCTTGAGCAAACCCCTTGCTCTGGCTACAGGTTTCTTTCTCCAAAAGTTCTCACAGCCAGACTCTAACACAGACTCTGGTGTCCCGTACCTGGTTCGGACCCCAGCTGAGCCCCCACCATGGGCTCCTGGGCATGCTCATGAAGCGCTCTAAGGCTTCCCGTGCTCAAGCAAAAATGGGGACAGTCGCAGCAGCGAGCCCCCGGGCGTTCCGCGAGCCGCCGGGGCACTGACGCTCTGTGCCGCACGCTTCCCGCGCTGTGCTGGAGCAGTGGCTCTCCCAGTGCTGGCCCTTAGACTCCGAGCGTGAGCACCGCCTGCGAGACCGTCCGGCCTGCCTAGAGCCCCTGAGTCAGAAACCGGGGAAGAGGGCCTGGCACCCCACTCCAAGTCCAGCGCACGCTCAGATCTGGGGGCTGCTCCTGAGCAGCGCTGGAGGGCTGCCTTAAGGCACGATGTCCAGGGGACACTTTGTTCCATGTCCTCCGCAAAGTGGCAAAATGTCTCAGAAATTTCAATTTTTCAGCACCAAAGCTCAATCTCCCAGGTACCCTGGCACCATGAAGTGGCACAAAAGTCCTCTGTCAGATCTATTTTCCAGTGATGGAAAACGCTGGACCTGTGTGGTCTGGTATGGAAGTCACAGTCACACGGGACTATGCGGTATCTGAAATGTGATTTGCGTAAGTAACTGAATGTTCGCTTTATTTAATTTTAAATAATCTCAACAGTGGCTCCTACACTGGATAGTACAGTTTTATTTTATTTTTTATTTTTATTATTTTTTTAATGTTTATTTTATTTTATTATATTTTAAATAGTTTACTGTTAAGTTGGTTTCCATATAACACCGCGGATAGTACAGTTTTAGAGAATCAGAAACTGGCAGCCCCAGCCACCCTGAGAAAGTAAGTTTCATTGGAGGAAAGAAGAAAAAACAGAAGAAAACTCACCGCTACCTCTTGCTCTCCCCTGCACTTGGTACAGGGCCGGGTGGTGCTGGACAGGGAGCCAGCAGGCGGCAGAAGCAGCTCCGCATTTACACAGACTTGGGCTTGACTCTGCTGCACCGGCAGCTGGGAGGTGCTCCATCTTTGTAAGACCCAGCACCCTGGCCGGTGAAATGACGAGCACCCTACCTACTTCTAAAGCTGCTGAGGCATGACAGCATAGGGGAGAGAATCTGGCAGCGCGAGCCTGATGGTGGGCGCTCCTGAAACCCCAGTCCTCCCGCTTCCAGGAAGTGACAACTTACTGAGGGAGGAAAAGCGAACTATCAGGAGAAGAGTTCAGGACAACCCATGAGGGACGCCACTGAGTAGTATGTGGATACGGGTCAAGGTGAACAAATTCTAGGTGGCTGGACTGCTGAGCAACAGGACTATGGCGGGCTGCCTATGGGCTGGGGATAACACTCTCCATAGAGAAGGTGGGCACAGAGCTAAACCTAGAAGGACCCAGGGGGGATGGGCAGGCAGAAAGCAAGACAGCAGACATGGCCAGTCAGGTGAGAGGCTCAAACAAAAGCAGGAAAACCAAAAATGAGGCCAAACTGAGACACCAAGGAGATCAGCTGGGTTGGAATACAGATGTGAGAAATGAGGGGTAAGAATAGGATGGCAGGTTCAGGGCTCGCTCTGGAGGACCCCAAATTTCCCCAAAGGGAAGCAGTGTGTCATTCTGGCTGAGAGCTGAACGCTGGAAACAGAAACAGATCTGTATTTAAATCCTTGTTTCACCAGCTGTGCATCTTGGGAAGATGCCCAGCTTTCGCATAGCTTCACCTGTAAACTGGGTACAGTGACAGTACCCCCACCTAGGGTTGTAGTGAGGACTAAAGACAGGTGCCTGTAAAGGCTTCACCCAGCGCATGGCACCTGGCACACGCTCGATAAAGGACAGCTGTTACTGTCGAGGTGTGCAGACTACCTTACAGCAATGGTTAACCCTTTTATGTCCCACCGACCTTGGAAAAATCTGATAAAAGCTATGGATTTTCTTGCCAGAAAAGACACACATACAATTTTGCCAACTATTTCAGGTATTTATAATCATTCTCACATCCATTCCAGATTTATGCTGGGGGTTCAGGGCACCCGCACTAAGAAGCCCCAGTCTAGACTCAAAGCAGGCCCTCACTAGCCGCATTCCACGCTGCAGGAACGCATTCCACGCTGCAGGAACGGGGAGGACACGAGAAGAGTGCCTGAGGCGAGGACGGTGGGGGCGGGGCAGGCTGTGTCCTGTGACAGGTCAGCCCGGGTGGGGGCAGAAGCCGGTTACACGCAGAACTCTCTGGGGTGCTGGAGTAAAGCGTGGCTTCTCCTGAGAATGCACACTGTTTTCCTTCCGGACAAGGACAACCTCAAACCATGCCCTTTCTCTCTCTTTCTTGGCTTCATGGATGCCCGGCACCATGTCTGAGGCTACAAATACAAAGCAAGGCATTTAGGCCTGCATATGGCTTCGCTCCCCTCTGTCTTCACATTAAACTCTCCTATTTCCCCAAGTTTTTACTAGCAGGTGTATTCTTTAATCAGTATGTCTGTTGTGGGACATCGGGAACACGTAAAAAAGAAAGGAAAATGAAAACGGATGCTAATAGTGATAATAAAAATGTGACAGCAGCAGTCACTAATGTGTATTATGTTCCAAGTGCTTTATAAGTCATGAACTCATCTAATCTCCCACACGGTATGCCCCACTATCGTTCCCATTTGATAGGTAAGGAAAACCGAGGGACTGAAACGCTCAGGGGACCATTCAAGGTCACAAAGCTCCCAGGCAGCAGAGCGGGGACGGGGATGCAGGCAGCTGGGCTCACAGGCCGAGGTGCTAATGAACCACGGTCCTGACAGGACTTCAGGGCTACTTGAGAACAGAGGCGTGAACACGTAACTGGCATCAGCGGCTACGTGTCACCCTCTCCCCTCTGTATGTATGACATGCTGATGTCCCAACAGTAATGTCGGGTGCCTGTGAAAGTCTCACGCTCAGGAAATCAGCCATGTTCCAGGCAGTGACATCCAGATGAGCCACCACCCACACCCTACGGGTCAGCCCCTGTGACTAATTCAAAGATCAACTGCCTGCTTCTACCTCTTTTCTCTGGATGTGGGAGACAGGGAAAGGTTACGGAAGCAACAAAACCTGGTCTGGGGCTAGAGTTCCTTCTTCAAAGGGAGGAATTGTAACTTAAAACCTGGATGCCCTTAGAGAGAAACGACTTATCACTTCACCATCAAAGAAACACTCTGTGTTCTGGGGCTGATTTAAAAGACCAAACAAATTTTTCTGGTGAAAACATACTCCAGAGGGTAGGAACAAACCAGCCTAGGGTGGGGAGGGGAGCTGTGGTCCAGACACTTTGTAGAAAGCGGCCCTGCCTGTCTCTTGGAGGATCAGCGCCGGCTTGCTCTGCAGATCCTAGCAGGTCCCCGTGGGGACCTTGCAGCCAGGCATCTGGGACGGGGGTGCAAATGGAGTCATGAAGGTTAGCTCTGTTCCACCTAATAAGGTCTCCCTCATCAATCTGGGGAAGATTGTGCAACATAGGTTTACTTCCTCTAAGACTTAATAGGATCATGGGCATCCAAAAATATCAAAAGAGCCCCGCTCAAGTCATGTAGTCTAATCTTTTACAGTTACAGACCTCAGAGAGGAAGTCCTCTACTTAAAAACTTCCAGAGGAGAAACTTGGGTGGCTCAGTCAGTTAAGCGTCTGACTTTGGCTCAGGTCATGATCTCACCATTTGTGGGTTCGAGCCCTGTGTCAGGCTCTGTGCAGACAGCTTCGGATTCCGTGTCTCCCTCTCTCTCTGCTCCTCCCCCACTCACTCTCGCTCTCTCTCTCAAAAAGAAATAATTTTTAAAAAAATTTAAAAACTTCCAGAGATGGAGAATCACTCCTCACATTCATAAATAAAAGACTCAAACATCTTAAGAGTAGGTTGTGTGGTTTCCCCCAGGACTGGCCCATAAACCACAGTCCACCTGAGGGTGTCGTCCATCTCTCGCCAGGAAAGGAACAAGTCTTACGAGGAACTAACAGCCACCAGTTAATCTAACTTTCTCACTCCAGCCTGTTGGCTCGTATCCGCAGGCCTGAACCCTCCATCAAGTCAGGAAATTGCTCCTCATTGCTGTCGGAAGCACACCCATGTAGCAACAGTTGAAGTTGGCCCTTACCTGGGGGCTGTGCCTCTGGACACTGAACTGGGGGTTGCCTGCGAAATGGTCACAATGTCTTCGTCCCCTCCATCCTCATAAAAGCTTGCTAGGGCGATCTGAAACAGAGAGGTAGTGACTTGGGATTCTCAAAAAGGCCTTCATCTAACACATACTTCCTCTGAGTGCGAGAAAGCAAAGTGACGAAGATATGGCCCACATTTACAAGGTGGTCTGTATCTGGGGACCATAGAAAATGAGATCAAAAGGCAGCAGCCTGGGGCATCTGGGTGGCTCAGTCGGTTGAGCATCCGACTTCAGGTCAGGTCATGAGCTCATAGTTGTGAATTCAAACTCTACATCGGGCTCACTCTGTCAGTGCAGAGCCAGTTGCAGGTCCTCTGTCCCCTCTCTCTGCCCCTCCCCAGCTTGCACTCTCTCAAAAATAAACATTAAGAAAAAAAAAAAGAGGTAGCAGCCCAACTGTTTCTCCTCCTATCCCCTAAAACAAATTCCACCTACTAAGGGGAACAGAAAGCAAGAAGGAAGGCTGGGATGGAGACACTCCTCATTCTCATTTTACCAGGAAAGGTGGCCTGGTAAAAGCAGCGTACATTTATTGAGCATTTACTTACGTGCCACATTGCTCTGAGCATAACTCTACATGTGTTAACTTGTTTAATCCTCAAAGAACTCTATATAATTAGTATTATCATTATCTTGGTCTCATTTTATAGTGGATACAGAGACACTGAGAAAAAACTGCCCCGAGTGAAAGAGTTGGGTGAGAAGCAGAGCCAGGCTCCCTGCCGAGCGCTCGGACCGCACTCTCAGCTTTCATGGGACGACCAGGAGTCAGGAACGGTGCCATCAAGCCGGACCGCTACTTTTACTTTCCCACTGGGGCCCAGCTTCTTCGCCTATCCACAGGGACACCGGGCCCACCAACCCCACACAACGAACGAGAGGACCCCTTGGCATTTGTGCACAGGCACGCCTTAGCTCTATACACACAGAAGGGCTACAGGAGTCTTCCGGCCATTTGCAATGGAGTGTTTCTCTCACTGACCCAATGGTTATGTATTTAATCACTCGGTACAGAGATACGAGCACCAAGGTCTACAGAGACGGAAGAGAGATGGTTCCCGTCCTCCAGATCACCACCCTTAGAGGAGGCAGCGTGCTGTCCCAGGACACTCCACTGAACTCGGAGCGGGGACTACATTCAAGTCCCAGCTCTGCCAGGCAAGTCATGTCCCACGCAGGAGCCTCACTTTCCCTACCTGTAGTGTGAGGAGGCTGGGACTGAGGACCTGACCAGGGTGTAACACTGTGAGCGTGTAGGGCTTCCAGGCTGCCCCGCACAGGGGCTTCACACCCTGTGTGTGTGTGTGTGTGTGTGTGTGTGTGTGTGTGTGTACAGGTGTGATGCTTCACCCAACTTTTATGCCATTTAAAATATTTTTTTTAATGTTTTATTTATTTCTAGGAAAGAGAGAGAGAGAGACAGCGTGAGCAGGGGAGGGTCAGAGAGAGAGAAGGAGCCACAGACTCTGAAACAAGCTCCAGGCTCTGAGCTGGCAGTCAGCACAGAGCCCGACGTGGGGCTGGAACCCACGAACCGCGAGATCATGACCTAAGCGAAAGTCGGATGCTTAACCGACTAAGCCACCCAGGTGCCCCAACTTTTATGCCATTTATGTGGTGAAGTCAGCAGACCCAGTTCAAGTCCCGACCTCACCACTTACTGACTGTGGGACCTCGGACTTGTCTTTCGCCCTCTGAGCCTCCAAGTCCTCATCTACACAACGAGCTAGTCTCCTTCACCTCAGTGTTGCCAGGATTAAGCAAATCTTCACACCTAAAGTGCCTGGCCCTCGGGGGTTCCAAGCTTGGGCTCTGGAATCAGACCCGAGTTCTAATGCTATAGTTTCCACCTGGTAACTAGCGAGGCCTTAACCAAGTTACTCAATCTCCCTACAGCTCAGCTGCAAATTGCAAAGATGAAATAATTTAAGGAACGGAAAGCAGTTACAACAGCACCTGGCTCATGGTGAGGAATCAAGAAACACTAACCATCATCATCTACCTGAGACGCAGGCCGACCAAGGCCATTTAGGCAATTCTTTCTACAATGAACTGCTGAGTGCCTAATATGAGCCAGGACCCGTTCTTGGCACCAGGGATTCACGTTTCCCAAAACCCCTCCCTCGAGTAGCTCCTCTTAATGACTTAGTCAACAATATTTAATGAATACTTAATACGGGCCAGAAAACTAGACGAGAAACTGCCATCTTACAGATGAGCTCAGACACTCGAACAGGCTCCAAGCTTGCGCCACCATCCCAGGGGTGGATTCTCCCACCAAGTAGGTAGGAGGGGGCGTGGGCCGCCCCCGGGGCTGGGCTTCTCCCTCCGCCAGCGGCCGGGCGGCGGGAGTGGATGGGAACGACCACCTCGGCCTCACCGCAGCTCCTCGCCGGACCCGGCCACTGCCACCGGCCAGGCCCCCAGCCGAGGCTCGGCGCGGCCGCCACGCCCCCAGGCTCCCTTCCCCACGCGGGTCGCCGCAGTGCCCAAAATCTCGCGGACCCCTCGGACGGGCGAGGCGGAGGAGGATGCCGAGGGCCCGCGAAGCGAGGCCGGGGCCGGTCCGCTTTTCCCCTACCCCCACGCCCAAGCCGAGTTGGCGACGCGTGGCAGGCGGCCTCGGGACCCTGAGGCCTGGGTCGGGCCGCAGCCCGGCGGGATGACGGTGCGCTTCGGCCCCCACCGGCGTGCTGCGCCGGACGCCCGCGTCCCGCAGCCCCCGGCCGGCCTGACGCATCCGGCCCCGCGCCGCTACCTGCAGGTCCCAGCCGGCCGATTCGAGGAAGAAGCGGGCCCGGTCCTCCTCGGCGCCAGTCACCGCCACGAACTCCCTCAGCGCGTCCTGCCGCTCCGCCGCCATCTTCGCCCTGTGCGCCGCCCGAACCGCTCCGCCAGCCGCCGCACAGCCTCACCCCCGCAGCCGCGTTCCGCCCGCCGGTCGACCCGGCCCAGCCGCGCGGCGCCCGCCCGCAAGCCCCGCCCCGTGCGGTGCCTCACGCAAAGTCCTCCGTGCGGGAAACTCCCCGACTCCGCGCCCTCTGGCGGCCGCGGCGCGGACTTGCAGCCTGAGGGCGGGGCTGGAAGCCCGGCGGAGGATGAGAGGCGGGGCGGATCTCCACGCCCTTGTGGAAGGAAGGAGACCGATTCACAATTATTCGTCGACTCATCCCTTCATTTCATTCCTTTATTTATTCGTTCATTCACTTCCTTGTTCACGTATTTACCGAGTACGATCAAGGGCCTGGTGCTCTTCCAGGGTTGGGGATAGGCAAGAGTAAAACAAAGTCCCTGCCCCCTCGTTCACATTCTTTTTTTCTTTTTTTAATGTTTTTTATTTATTTCTAGGAGAGAGAGAGAGACAGCGTGAGCAGGGGAGGGTCAGAGAGAGAGGGAGTCACAGACTGAAACAGGCTCCAGGCTCCGAGCTGGCAGTCAGCACAGAGCCCGACGCGGGGCTCGAACCCACGAACCGCGAGATCATGACCTAAGCGAAAGTCGGACGCTTAACCGACTAAGCCACCCAGGCGCCCCTCTCGTTCAGATTCTAGGGAATAAAATAGACCTGGAGCAACAGGTTACTCCTCTGCTCCCAACGCTTCGTGCCTTCCGATCTCACTCCGCCTACAGACAAAATCTCATGGCCTGCAAGACGTGGAACGCGCCAGCCTCTCCATTTCGTCTCCCAGGCTTCCCACTAAATCCCTCTGCTCCAGGCACACTCCCTTCTTGCTGCTCCTTGGGTGTGCCAGGCGTGCATTTGTATCAGAGCCTTGCCATCCGCGACTCCCTTTTTTCTGGACCGTCTTTCCTTCGCTGGCAGGCAAGGCGCTCTCCCAGCTTCTTCCGGCTTCTGCGCCAAGGGCACCTTCTGAGACACAATCCTCTTTGCCCCCTTGCCTCTTGCCACCGTGCCTGGAATGCTCTTCTCTTCCCCTTCCCTTTGCCAGCTTCTGCACGCCCCCGCCCCTCAGTTGAGGGATTCCCTCTTCAAGGGGGCCTTTGTACATCCCTGGGCTCCATCAGACATCCTTGCGCATGCCCTCTGATGCAAGCCGTGTCAAGTGCCAGCCTTTTCCGAGGGCCACCATCCCTGTGACAGCAAAGGCTCTGTCTGTCTCCAGCATAAAATGGCTCATCGGTGTGCGCTCTGGACTGAGCCTGGGGTTGAAGCCCAGATATTACTCCTTGCATGATCTCGTGCATATTACCTTTCCAAGCTTCCGCTTCTTGATGGGGAACTGATGCTCCTTACAGTACTTTGGAGGGATGTGTGAAGGATCCAGGGTGAATGGCTCCCATTAATGCCTGCCACTTTCTAAGCCCTCTGCAAAGATTCGCTGTCCTTTTTTTTTTTTTTTTTTATGTTTTATTTATTTCTAGGAGAGAGAGAGAGAGACAGCATGAGCAGGGGAGGGTCAGAGAGAGAGGGAG